TTTATATCAGCACTCCGTATTTGCTTTTATGTGTTGACATTCAGGGAAATTTTTTTCGCATACAAATCAGTCTTTTAAACTGGTAGTGCTTCGGTACAAAGTAAACGTACAGACCAACTGGGATTAATTCATGTTCGTGTGTTGTGTTTTACACACAGTTTCATGAAATATCAATATCAAGGGGAATCCATTTATATTTTGTCACATTTACATGGTTTTTTGCAGTCATGATCAAATTGGCTTAGAAAGAAAATAAAATTCTGGGTTCTGTCTATCTAATGGGTTTGTATGCAGCTGCACCGCGTTGTTGCTGTTGTTGTAGTTGTCGTTTTCGATACATGAGCTGATCCGGATACGATACCGCTTTCATTCACTTATACTACAGCACTATGTTGATTTACGTACTAGTAAGACAACTATTAACGTAAAGCTACACTAATTCGATGCGTCAACGTCCGTGCGTATCCTTGGATATGCCATTTCACATCGCTTTCCTCCTCTATTGGCACGTAGTATTGCAGGTGCATTCCATACTCAAGCCGTCATGCTCCTGTTCGTACTGGTAGGAAAAAGGTAGGTAATTGAGTCCGGTCAGTTCGGAGCGGCAGCAGAGGATTCCCTTGGAGGGTGGAGTGGCTACCGCGGTTACCAAAAAAGCCGAACTGAGCCAACACTCAGCTTAGAACAAGCCTGATGGAAGGTTCCAGACCAAGATTCTCCATCTTTCAAAATATGAGTTGGTTGGAAATATCGGCGAGAAATGGAGAAAAGAATTCGATGAGTACTGCGTTTTGCCGGGAACGAAAGATATCACGGCTTTCTGGGTGTTTCACATCGCTGGTTAGGCAGGTATTAAGCTATATTTTCAGTGTAAGTTGCAGACGATATACTCAATCACATCGTGCTTTTTCTCAGCACTATCAGCCCACTCTAGTTCTAAGATTTGTATTGAAACAATTAATTAACATTCATAATTTCATTTTATTAATATTTTTGCATTAGAAGCGATGGACGCCACCAACACCTCGGATGTAGCTTCGCCGCGTCAAGTGGAGCTGCAGCTGGAGCAGCAGCAAGATGCACCATCTGTCACCAAGTTCGCATGCAAGAAGTGCCGCTGTTTGTTGTTTACTAGCGAGCAGCTCATGCCGCATGAGCCGGAGCAGCACCAGATCTCGGCGCGCAGGAAGCTCAAGGACCTCAAGCACAGCGTCGGCGCGAACGTGGCCTGTTCTTCATATTTTCTAGAGGAAACGCTGTCTTGGATGGACGAGGCTTTACTCGCCGAGGGCAAGATCCACTGCCCCACTCTCAAGTGCCAGTCGCGTCTAGGAGCGCTGCAATGGTCGGGCTCCCAGTGCTCATGCGGCACGTGGGTTACACCCAGCATCAAGATCACCAAGAGCAGAGTAGACGCAGTCTTCAAGCAGAGCAACCTGAATATTGTCACGGGCGTCGTGCTACCCAACGCAGCACAGACATATGCAGCAGAAACAACCCCACCGACAATCTAAGGACGTTAGTATGACCGCAATTGCAAGTTCATTTTAACATAACGTGACAATGCAATTGTCCTAGACCGCAATTCGCCTAAGTTTAAGCAGACAAATCCCAGTAGTTCACGCAGGCGTCGTTGCCAACAGAGACGAGCTCCGTCTCAGAGACGAAGCTGACGCCAGTGACGCCGTCCTTGTGCGAGAATTCGAAGAAGCGCTTCTTCATGGGGCTGTTGACATCCCAGATGTAGATACGTTCGTCAAGTGAGCCACTGGCAATGAAGTTGCCGCTCGGAGCCCACGCCACGCTCGTCACACGCGTCGAGTGGTACACCCACATGCCCTGCACCTTAGCCGAGCGTGAAGACACATCCCACACTCGCACTTCACGGTACGTGTCACCCGCAGCCAGAAGCGATCCATCCGGCGAGAACGACACACACGTCAGAGCTCCCAGGTGGCCAGTGATCTCTCCACTTTCGACCAATGAAGATCCGTTCACCACGTCGAACAAATGAATCTTCATGTCCTCCTGCGATCCAATAGCCACAAGATCCTCAGACGGCGAGATGGCTACACACGTAGGCGTCCACGAGAACTCTGGAGTCTCGAACACTAGCTTCTGATCGCGCAACAGCTTCACACCCTTGTTAGTGCTCACTACAGCGAGTCCAGACTCCGTGATTGCCACGCCGTTAGGTTGTGCATTAAGAGCAGTAGCACCAGTGTACTCGATGTCATTAGCGAAGCGCAGCTGGTCGTCCCATCCGCTGCTAGCGATCTGGTTCGAATTGGCAGCAATCCCCGTGATTTTAGCAGTGTGGATAGTGCCAGCCAGCGCCTTGGCAGTCTTCGACGTCCAGGAGCACACCACACCGTCGTAACTTCCAGTCAAAATGCGGTTCTGCGTCGACTCCGTAGCCAGTGACAAGATGCTGACCTGGTGACCCTGTACGATCTGCTTGGGCTGCGACGGGTTGTCCAAGTCCAGGAAGTTGAGGTCGCCTGAGAGACTGAGAGAGATGAGGTGGTTCTGACACCACGCCACCGCCACCTGCATGTCCTTAACTTGAGGTTTAGCCCCTCCGAAAGTGAACTTCGTGACCACACTACGCGAAGCCACATCCCAGAGCAGCACCGTCTTATCAGCCGAAGACGTCAGCAACTGCGTGCCATCCGGACTCCAGCACACTGAGTAGATAGAAGCCTGATGCGCCGCCGGGAACTTGTCAACCAGCTCGCCGCTCTTGCCGTCGTACAGACACATGAGCTTGTCGGACCCCACACTGACCGCAAGCTCGCCGTTAGGAGAGAACCGCACGCAGTTGACGAAGTTGGAGTGCAGGTTGTTGTTGTTCTGCTTGAACTTGAACGGCGGGCCTTCAAACACGCACACGTTGAAGTCCTCACTGGCTGTCATGATGCGGAACGGACGAGTCTGACGGTAGTCTACACTGAGGATTCGCTTCTGGTGGCCGACGATCTCGCCGATGCTGTTGCCAGTGTCCCACATGAAGACACGAGCCATGAGGCCACGACCGTCGCCCACCGCGACGATCCGCTTGCTGTCCGGGTCCCACGACAGGTCCTTGATCTCGCCTGCGAACACTGGGATCTCCAGCTTGAGCGTGTGTTCCGGGTTGTCGTACGACCACACGCGCACTTTGCCAGACACGTCACCAGATGCCACCCAATAGCCGTTGGGGGAGAATTTCGCGACCGTTGTGGGCTCATTGTGGCCCTTGTACACGAACGTGTCGCTCGGATCGTCAAGGTTGCGCACTACCACGAGCTTGCCACTGCAGTAGATGAGCTTGGGCTCCTTCGGGTGGATGCCAAGCACACTGGGGGCACCACGGTTGGTCGTCGGGTTCGGACCCACAGTCGCCTATGGGATAAATAAAAATAAATGCAAGAAAATATGAAAAAAGATCAGCTTCAACTGCGCAATTCGAAAGCTGTAGAGCACTGTGATTGAAGCAGGAGGAAGAGCTGAAACGTACCTTGAGGGCCGGGGGTGGCACCTTCTCTGTGGGGTTCGTAGGCGAGGACATTGGCGCTGGAAGGTGCTTGGGTTGCAGGGGGAGATTCTGCGAGTGACGCGGACAATTTAGCGACGAAATCCTTGCACCCACGTGTTGCAGTGTCCTGATACCTGTGTATGCCACACGAAAAGATCCGTTCGCCAATCAAAATCCACAATCTTCATTACCAGATGGCTTTATTATCCTACGGCTCGGATTGCCACCAGCGTCAGCTACGCTGTAGTCTTACGAGGTCACGGTGAACGTATTGGACGTGGATTCATACGCTGTGAGGGCGACAAGCAGGTGTTTCGAGTACCCGCGATGCACAAAGCGGTAGGTTCCCGCTACACTTGTGCGTCCTCCTTTTCGGATGTTCCACTCGCACGTGTTCTTGCTTTCGGCAATGAGGTAGCGCTCCCAGCGGTAGCGTAGATCCCAGTGCGCGTCTGTCATGACGGTCGTGTACGCGCCGTTCGATCCGAGCTTCTGTACGTCACAGAAGGACGAGACCAACGTGAGCGCGTTCTTTGGGTGCGCGCCGGCGAATATTGCGGAAGCCACACTACCAACGGTGTACGAGCTGGACGGCTGCGTGCGTACGTCGCTGAAGGAGCGCAGGAGCGGTGCCGCATCCATCACCACTCCTGTCTGCATCGTAATGAGGGAGGTGCGGTCGATCTGCATTGGGGTAGGTCCCACGTCCAGCGGAACGGAAGGATCTACCATAGACGCTGCAACTCGAGTGAGCTCCTGTTGCACTGCGGCCAGCTGGTTGGGACCAAAGAGCGTCGAAGCGCCTTCGTAATTCTGCGTAAGATATTCCTCCTTCGTGGTCACGTACTGCGCGAAGGCGTTGCTGATGGCAGCCAGCTCAACTTCCGTCACACCAGCGCTTGCAAGCTCCGTCTTGATCGTGTTTCGGATACGTCTTCCAGCCATCGTGGTAGTCTCGAAATTAGTGACTGCGATGGCTAACTGGCCGATCTTGACAATTTGAACAGGCAAGGTATTGGGCACCCACGGCGTCGGCTCCATGAGTCCAACTGCAAAAAGCGGCTTCTTGTTAGTGTGCTGGCAATCCTGCACCCACTTCGGCGTAGGCTTAATGACGGTACCAATGGCCTTAAACAATGCGTTCCCCTTCAAGTTTCCTTCTGTGAACATGCTGGGTCCACGACCGTCCTCCGTGCCAGCAGCAAAGTTCTGCCCCACGACAGCTGGACATGTCCTATCAGCGTACGGGTTGTCAGGAGTGGCTTGTACGCCCTTGAGCTTCACGTTGGAGAAGTCGACGTAAGAGAGATTGGCTACCACCGATCCCTGGATAAGCTCAGAAGGCCCCTTAATCAGCGAGGAGAGCGTGTCGTACTGCCGCTCGCCCAAGACCTCAGCGGACTCGATTAAAGTCTTGCCTTCGCCTCTGAACGTGCCATATCACCGTTGTCGACTCGGTTCGGACTCACATCCCCGGCGTTGGTAATACCAATAGCAACGGTGACATTTGTCAGCTCGTCTTCAAGCAAAAACTCGGCGTATCCTTTGTTGTCTCCGCTGATCAGTCGGTTTTTCGCAGTTAGACTGGTTGGATGCACGGGGTAGAACGCCAATACACCTCGAAGCTTGCCAGAGCTACCGAAGAAGTGCAGTGCACGCATTGTCGTGTCGATGTCACTGCTGTAGAGCGCTCGTTCCGACGTCGGATTGGCCAGATAAGCGTTGGGTGATCGGTTCTTGCCTCCTTTATCGACCTCACCTTTTTTTTTTTGCTGTTCCAGCGGATTGTTCCGCTCTCCATCGAGTTATGAGCCTTTTCAATGGCGTCCATAATGCCATTGACTATCCTGGCGAAATTCTCGGTGATGTATCCGAGACTAGTGACGTCGTACATGAAATATCCGGCTGTACCTCCGGGGCTGGCATGCGTGTGTGATGCATGCAACACAACGTTTTGATCAGTGTAGACGCCATTGTACTTGGTCGCAAGCTCAGTGAGGACTTCTTGGTGCACGAGTTGCATCACTCCCATCAGATCACAGTGAACAAACACGATACGTTTGTTGGTGTCTGGGTCTTCAATAAGGAAAGCTCGGGCATACAAGCGATTGAGGATTCCAGTCGTACTCTCAGTTGGATCGGCAAACCCCATCATAACGACGTCAGCAGCAGGGCCAGTGATATCCGTCTTCCCAATTCCGATGTTGTACGCTGTTGAGAGTTGGTTTAGGATACATGCGAACAGACTAAGCAAGCAGGAAACAACAATTCGATGCTGCATATTGTCGACGAGTTTGCTGGTTTTTTGAGTTCGTAGTGGAGAGTTAGGAAATGGCATCTCAACTCCCTCTCCCTGCGTGCAGTCTGAGCTAGCATTTTTTTGGAGAGACATCACTTAAGCTGTGACCCGAAGCCATTGCTGGTTGTGAAATGGATGGAGATGGCTTTCAATTTTGCAAGAAAATAACAAAGGATTGTATAGAAGTGAGAAGGATGGAGTGCGACTTAGTAGAATAATGTCTTTAGCAACGATAATGTTTGTTACCCATTAACAGCTCTTCCTATTCATGTTGTTTTGATGTTGCAGCATCCTTTCATTTCATGTCATAGACAATGACACCTCCATCGTCTCCTGCAGCAACCAGTTGGTTCGTGGACGCTGCTATTGCTCGCACCGCTGCCTGGTTTGCCCCAAGTCCGTACAACAGTTTGCCCGTCTTCCAATCGTGTACGTGAAGCATGCCGTTTCCAGCACCGCTAAAGCACAATAGACCGCGAACATGTAGCGAATAAATGAAGTCCAAGTGTTCCGTAAAGCTGTGCATGACGCCATAAGATTGTCTCTTGTCAAGTACGTTGATGACTCCATCTGCACCGGCCGTTATGAGCACGTTCGGGTCATCCACAGGCTCACGAAGAAACCCCACAGCGCCTTTCTTGTTGCTACGTGGGTCAATGTGAAGCTCCAGCGAGTGCGTCGCTTCCTTCTGCCTAGAATCCCATACTTTCACGACCCCGTCCTGGCCTCCAGAAAAGAAACAACCTGTTGACTCCTCGCTTTGGCTGCCCAGAACGCTAGTTGTGTGTCCTTGGTGTGCATGCGCGTGTTTACGAAGGATTTTGCTCGTCTGTAGGTCGATGAGCTGCACGGTTCCATCGCGATCACCGCATACTGCCCGCTGACCTTCGGAAAGCAAGGAAACATCTAGTATGGGAGCAGTGCTAGCCTTCACTACACTAACCTCGCGCTGGCTGCTCGAAGCTCGTCGACTGACGTTCCATAGCCGAAGCATCTTGTCATATCCAGTGCTCACAACCATGTCGTCATTGAGATTCAATACACACGACACGGATCCACTATGACCCAGCAAGTCCTCGCATTTGACGCCTGTCGCGTCCCATAAACACAATTTACTGTCCATGCCGCCGCTGACTATCCGACGATCTGGCAAATGCGTGACGCAGGTGACCCACTCGGTATGACCGAATTTCTTCGTGTAAAGAGTTCGTGGACGACTAGTACTGGCTCCTCGGGATGATCTACCTGAGGATGAAGAGCTGTTGCTTATTGGAATAACGTATAAGGCGTGGTCACTGCTTCCCACGACCACCTCGCTCTCGTCGGCGCTCATGCTCATACACATAAGCGGTTGTGCTGAGACAGCATGTACCTCGCCTTCTGGCGAGCACGGACCTTGTATCCATGCACCAGTGAGCTGTTCTAGTGTTGCTGATGGCGTCTTCTTGGCAGAAATATGCGTCATCTTGCCATCGCTTGATGGCTTGAGCGACGCCTCTCCGATAACATGTCTCTTTGCGCCTGTTCGTGCAGCCTCCGCCGCCGCAAGCTCCTCGAATGCCGTGTCAAATGCCTCCATGTAGCGGTCATTCTGGCGGTGCGATGCGCTAGCGCTATGCGCGACACGGGCGGGGCCGCGATCGCCATCGCCACCTTTGGCTGAGTGCGTGGGACGCACTTTCAGACGGGAGAGAGTGTTGCCTACGTCTTCAGACTCTACCGTGATTCCCGAGGACGCATACTCCTCGAGGCGCACATGGCCGCTGCCAGACTTGCTCGCCATCGCTTCAATGCAATGAAAGATCGTTTTTGTGTTCAGACACCACTTAGTGTGGTCACATAAAGCGATCTGATTACAAAATGAAACCGCTTCGACATGTCGCATGTAGTAGCTTCAACAAGCGATTAAGTAATGGTGATGTCCTCCAGAGCACTCAAAGTGGGTTCGGAGATGTGACGAGCGATACTTAATTGAAAGGTTACAACACGTGAAGAGCTGTGATGCTCATTGGCTTTTCGGAGGTGCGCTCGCAACTTGCGAATCGCAATAAGCGTGGCAGGCGTGTGCCAAAGGCAGCATGTAGCACGCGCCGGGCACGCGTTGTCGAGAGTAACTTCTAAGCTCGGGTTCGCAACATCCGCTACGTCTGGATTTGCGGCAAAATTTACTTATCTGCCTCTTGCGGCTTTGCTGATTGAGCATTGCTCAATCAGATTGCTCAATTGCATGACAACATGTTGAAGCTACACCAGGGCGTTTTGATAAGGCCAGCACCGCCCACGTGGCGTCTTGCTATGGGCCTTTCAGCAAAGACACGCTTTGTACAATTCAATGTGTGTTGTCCGTTTTTGCTCGACCATTTTCATTTAGGTAATAGCACTTTGTACCCATATCCCATGAAATGGGTAGCCGCGGTAGTATTATGCTTGGGCCAAGCAACTTGGCACCACCCAAGGGCAAGGCTGTATATAATGAATTGCAGCCTCACTTCACACTCAAACCAACGCAGGCACGAGCCCATTTCTCCAGAAGAGTAAGAAGGAAAACGTAGAACAGGCTGTAGAGTTGGAACTCTAGTTCCACTCTGCAGAGAGTTCCAATTGGAACCTTCAACGACTCGTTGGTGCGATGCTGCGTTGGACATACATTTATACTGTGCATTTATTCTCTGTAAATTCATAGAAAATCTTGAAACATATCGCGAACGATTTTGCTGTAATCACCGGTAGTTTTTAGCACTGTGCACGCGATGCAATAGTGTTATCACGTCTCATCGCTTATTCTGCTTATTGCGGTATGCAAGCTCACACCCAAGGTCCACACTCAAACTGCAAACCAAGGCTGTAAGAGTTCTTACAAGAACTGCTTGCTCGCTCATCTTTCGCATTTTTGTTTTTTTTTATACAACGTGGTACCCATTTTTTGTCGACGTTTCGACAGACAAGTGAATGACGTCGCTTCCCGCGAAAGCTGCTATGCAGTTTGTATGCGTTTTCGAAGGTTTTTACCAGCGACATTCATTCTCCCCACTTCGCTATTGGCAGGAGCTGCAGCAAGCTTGTCCGCACTCGAACAGCACACCTGGAAGTCCGTCTTCGCGCACCGGACACCGTGACGAGAGGAGAGAGGTGGCAGCAGGACGAGGGTGAGTGAGTCAGTGGCAATCAACGACAGGCAACAAGCGAGAGGCTGGTCGGCCAGACTCGCCTACTGTGCGCCAGTCGGCTTGACTCGCTAATAAGTTGACAGGCTCAGCAGTGGCAGGCTAGGCACTCACCAAGACGCCCGGAATTCTGTCAATGCAAGGCTCCTTCGCTTTCGGTCTCGCCAAAAGTGGGGTCAACGGGCTGCCCGGCGTGCGGCGGGCTGCCACGGCCTCCCAGATCGGCGGTCGCCTTTCGTCTCCCAGCTCCCCAGTGAGCAACGAGAACGGCGCCGCTGGCGGCTGGAATAGCGATGACGAAGCCGTGAACGGATCTGCGGCGTCCTTGGTCACCACCATGTCTGCCATTCCGCGTGTAGCTTCATCGCCCATCGCGTTCGCAGACTTGGGCAGTGACCAGGCGGCGCTAGCGGCCAAAACCGCAGCACGCACGGGTAGCGTGATTAGGACGATGACGCCACCGTCGGAGGCGGCAGAAGGAGATGAATTGCACTTAAGCAAGCGAGGCACCTCAGTGGACAAGACGAACCCGTTCATTGGGTACTTCCAAACGGGCACAGAAGAGAATGATGTGTTGGAGACGGTTTCGGGAGCAGCTAGGGCCAAGATGAAGGCTCCAATGCCGCCGTCCCCAGCACCAGTGCGCCGTGTGCCTATTCGAACGCAGAGCAGCGCGGCGCTTTCGTCCATGTCGTCGTTCTACCCGTCAGCATTCTTCACGCCGCATAAGACAACGGAGTGGCTTGGCTCGCAGACTAGCCGCCTCCCGTTCTTTAAGCAGAGAGATGCGAAGCAATCCACGCAGCAAAGACAGCAGGACGAGCAAAAGAGACGTACAGCGTTCCTGGATTCGTTGAAACTGGAACCATCAGCGCTGGCTGTGCAGGCCGCAAAGGATGAAAACCAGGAGGAACCGGTGCAAAAGCAGAAGCAGAGAGCTTCGTTCAAGCGCACTGTTTCGATGCCGGCTGCTATGTCTACGAAGGCAGCGGTAGCAGCACTGTCGCCTATCGTAACTTCATCAGAGGTGAAGGACGTTACTACATCGAGCTTAACTCCTGATGGTACTTGCACGTCGAAATCGCGCTTTGAACAGGATTTTGAGGTCGTGGGCTCTCTAGGTGAAGGTGGTCAAGGCGCTGTGTTCAAAGTACGAAGCAAGGTGGACGGGTGCTATTATGCTATCAAGAAGGTGGTGCTGCCTCGCGCTACGGAGCTTGATGCTAACCGCGCGGAGAGCCAAGCACTGCGTGAAGTTCGTTTGATGGCATCCATGGCCCCGCATCCCAACGTGGTGCGCTACCATACAGCGTGGACTGAGGTGGATGCGTGCGTTTCTCACAAGAGCTCGTCGATGGAGAGCGTTCGTGGCTCAGACGTGCCGTCGCTCGAAAGTGACTGTAGTCCTGAAAGCCTTCAGCGACAGCAACTGGAACTGCTGGACGAGGAGGCCGAGCTGCGAAGCATGGAGACTGAAGACCAGTCGTTTTCGCTTGAGTTTTCGTCAAATTCACTTAGTTTCGACGAGTATTCCACTCCTGGATTCACGTTTGAGGACGAAGGCGAAGAGGAGGACTCGGTGGGTTTGTGTGTGGATGATAAGGCTGCGTTCGGACAACCTGGTGACCTGAAGAACGAGGTTCGCGTAGCTCCTCCTGCTTCTCGCGCTGAACCGGTGGTCATGAAGTCTCAGGTTATTCTGTACATTCAAATGGAACTGTGCGGGACGGCAGTAAACTCTGTGCCTTCGACTCCCACTGCAGGTGGCCACCAGCCAATTCATCATATTCTGGACCAGCTGAAGTCGCCTCAACAAGATATTCAGCATTATAGCGAAGAAACTCACTCGAACCTGGGAGCATGGCTCCGATCTTCGTTGGAGGAGCGATCAGCGTGGTCTAACACCTCCGATATCCACCAAGAAGGGTTGAAGCTGTTTCTCAGTGCAGTTCAGGGTGTGGCTCACATGCATTCCTACGGCGTGATCCACCGCGACTTGAAGCCGGACAACATATTCATCCATGGCGATCAAGCGAAGATTGGCGACTTCGGTCTATCCAAGTCTGTTTTTACGGACAGCTCGTCCTATGGGGCTGTGTCACCTCGTGAGCGGCTGCTGGAGTTGGGACTAAGCGATGGAGATCACACGACGGCACTCGGTACGTTCACATACGCGTCTCCTGAACAGCTAGGGTACCGCTTTAGCAGCAGCAATGTGCTGAAGAACGCGGCGACTCGTCTGAAAAGCGCCAAGTACTCGATCAAGTCGGATATCTTTGCTCTGGGGGTGATTTTACTGGAGCTATGCTGCCCGTTTAGCACGATGATGGAGCGTTCGCAAGTGTTGACAGGCGTGCGCCACGGTGTTGTGCCCCATAAGGCGCGACAACACTTTCCAATGGAGATGGATCTGGTGTTGCGTATGACTTCAATTGACCCTGGTGAGAGACCCACGAGTGAAGAAGTTTGCGAGCAGCTACGCAAGATAATGGCAACGTCAGGCACTGCAGTCACGCCAGCATCAGCTCTGGAGGAGTTGCGAGAGCTGCAGGCGAAACTCGCAGCCGCTGTCCGCAAGGTACGTGATCGTTCTCAAGCTACTCTTCAGCTCGAGGCTCTTGTCTCCGAGTTGAACGACAAGGTCCAGAACGTGGCCATTGCTCTTGCCTAAGAAAATCGAGCATGAAGTCCACGAAGGACATCGCAGCGTGGAAAAAAATCTGGAAACCCAACGAAAAAGCAAATAACGACGACAAAGCAGCGCGAGACAAGCAGCTTCCTCGATGAAGACAAGCGACCTCGCTAATTAGTGGCTTTTGTGTGTGCGAAGTAAACCAATCTGCACCCACGAAATTGTGCGTGCACGAAATGTACGATGATCCTCGCAAAAGTCGAAAGCGTAAGAATGGCGCTCGATGCGCGTAAGCCAGCGCATTGATCTATGAGTATCGAACGCCATTCAACATGGTGATGGAATAGGCCAAACGCAAATTCCTCCTGTAATTATAAGGATGTGCTCGAATCGTGTTTCTTTGCCTTAAGGAAAGAGCTAGCAATTGCTGGGCAAGGCGTTGAAGAAGTGGTATTGCTGGTCTCTGTCGAACACGCCGACCATTGTGCCACAGTCCGAGCATGCCACCGGGTAAAACTCGTCTTCTTGCAGCAACCGAGCAATCTGCTGTCCCCTCGTAGTCGTCTTGTTACTTGTAGCCAAGCTCTGTCGTTTGTGGAACGGCAGTGAAGCTGGCACTTGACTGCCTTCACCTGCCGTGTAAGTGAGGATTTCATCACGCTTGACACGACAATTGATCGCTGCAGTCGCTCGATACTGGTTCGTGTAGGTTGCATGTCTGCAAGGAATTACCCGGTATTTCTGTTAGTATACTCATGATAGCAACACTAACGCAGCAACGCCTACCTCTCACAAACCATGCACACCGTTACGAAGCAGCATGGACAACACAGCGTAGCGTCCGTCTCATCTTTTGTAGCACGAGCCCCACCTGTACAGGCAACCTGTAAGTACGTTCACCTGTCACTATATGCTGCCAAAACTTACGCAAGTTCGTCTGCACCCACTGCTCGTCTGCGTCGTCTAACTGCTCGTCGTACAGCGGATCTGGCTCAATTGCCTCGTTCTCTTCATCTTCTTCGTATTCGTCCTCTATCCTTGCTGCGGGCTGTCGCCTGCCTAAGCTTTTCTTCTCTGGTGCATGGCCTTCTATCCGCTCGGTCACCGGAGCTGGCGATGCACCCGACACGTCCATATCCTCCGCGAATGTCACCACTTTCTTGTGCTGCGTCTTAAATCGGAACGGAGCTTCTCCATAGTCTCCATCACTCCTACCCCCTGTAGCAGCATCCAGAGCTTCTTGGAGCTGCGTTCTCCGTGCTGTGTGTTGCTTCAGTGCTCGAGGAGAGACTCTAAGCTCTTCACCCCCTCCAAGCTCGAATACACCTGGAGCCGGAGCTTTGACCTGTTCTCGAGGGGTTTTAGTCCTTGTATGCGTTGATTTGCTGCCGTTTAAACTGCCGATGGGCGTCAGAATGTTGCTGGACGTAATGGAGCTCGAAGTTGGGAACACAGAGACCAATTCTTCCACCGGATCGCGCGTTTTAGAGGTCGCAGGCGACGCTGGAGCGTCCTCGACGTCGCTCATGGACTCATCACTAGGCAAGAAGGCGAAATAGTCCTCGGTATCAACGCTGTAAGCAGAGAAGGACACGGCGTCGGCGCCATGACGCCGCGACTGGTGCATGCTGTACGGAAAACGTGAATTGGTGATATCATTTCGGTACACCTAAAGTGAAGTGGCAGTGTAGCCTTGTTCCATGAAAGGTCGTAGTATGGCTAGGTCATGCCTAAGACCACAGCAGCCGAGTCGTATGAGGCGTTCAAGGCACGAAAGCGAGAGGAATTCAACACTCGACATGCTAAACGATCACAGACTACGCAGCAGAAACTGCTACGAGTGCATCTCCGACACTTTTTGCTGACTGTAGGAGCTGAGGTTGATCATGAACGACAGAGCGGAGACAACGCAGAATATATAAACCAGGTTAGAAATGCTAATGCTAATGATGCATCTCGAAGTTTTGCCAGTGAGCAAAAGCGTCTAGCTGTTGAGCGAGAAGCAGCGAAAGCCAAACGACAACGCTCAGCTCAAGTGATCCAGAACTTCGTCCGGCGGCGTATACGCCCAAGGCCAAATGAGGAAGAGCTGCCCTCCACCTCTGTGCTGATCCCATTGGAAACTGATAAAGCTGTTGCACCTCTAAAAGCTACGACTGACGTTATTCCAGTTGCAATCGACATCGTTCCAGATCCGTCACCTACGGTCACGCTCCCTCCTTATGAAGTGGTGATCAATGTGGTTGCCGTTCGTGATCTAGCGTTGGATTTCGCTACGTTAGACGGAAAATATCTCGAGACCGAGTTGCAACTGAAGCGACAAAGTGTTGTAATCTCTCGAATTGTTCCTACAAGACAATTTGTTTCCAGTATTCAAGAGAGCCACACGGAACTCCAACTACATGAGTGCTCGCTGCGGTTTTCCATGGACCTGAACAATGGTATGAGCCACCATCTCGCTTCACCTCAGAGTGTCATTGATGAATTGAGCGCTACTATAATTGTAAAGACTACTGAAAACAATGGCGGGGGCAACACGAATACTTTGGGTCTCGTTGAAATCCCGCTGTCGCTCCTCGAGACACCTCTGGCTACTGAGTACGCTTTATGTCGGTGGTTCCCACTTGAAAAAGCTTATTCTGGACATACAACACGTGGTGACGTACGAGTTAGTGTTTGTTATTTGATGCGGCAACAAAATTCCGATGTTGTTATGATGGTTCCCTACGTGAATACGATCAGTTCAGCAAGCACCGATGTTGAAGCGGAGGAACAACAAAAAATAAAGAAACCAGTGGCCAAGCGGGCAAAGAAAGCTCCTGTTAAGTCGGTAGGCAAATCTTTCCAGCGGAACAGGGAGCACGCAGCCACATCTGAAGGAAAGAAATCTCCGGTACTCTCGCTCAAAGACGCGTTTTCGAGTCCAATTGGTAGGATATCTCGAGCTGAAGCTCTATCGCCTCCACCGTCTCCATCTTCCGTAACATCATCCGACGCTGGTGAAAATATCGACTCGCCTAAAACTGTGAAAACTCGTCGACCTTTATTCTCATCAAAACGGCAGCAGAAATTCAGCAAACCTGTGAACATTTCACCACCGAAAGAAGAACAAGAGGTCGAAGCAAAATCCGATCCGTCGCGAACACCTCCGCAAACATTTCTCAAGCGCAAACCATACAAAGTGGTTTTCCACAAACTGGACTGGTCCAGCGTGGTGTCGAAAACTGACAGCAATTTGCCCACAAGCAACAAGAATCCCAAGAATCCCAGTGTTGCATCCAAGACGTCACGTTCCTCAAGTCGAGCGTCAAACTCTGTTGCTACCAGCAATACTGGAGACACAATAACGGATACGGACTCCGTATTGGATCCAAAACCTGGTGCTGTCATCGATGCAGCTACTGCCGAGAGATTGACAGCTCTTGAAACTGCGATGTACGAACAGTGCGGCGTCACGCGCGAAACAGCACCATTGGCACGATTCAAGTACCAAAATGAACGAAAGAAATTTGTAGCTACTCTCCAGAGTCAAGCTCAAGCTCGTCAGGATAATAATTCGCAAACAGCCCAGCCACCGAGCCAAGCCAGTAGCGAGCTCGACATTGGCAACGCCACGTTGGAAGCAGCCATGACGGAACTCTGGAAGAAGCTTACGGGCGATTCCTCGGGACAAATCTACGCGTCGATGCTGCGGAACCTCATTGAGGCTAAAAGCCCTATAGAACCCACCGAACCCGACTCTGTCGGTTGCTAAAATGACAACTTCAACTTGCGGTCTTAGTCGCTTTAGGCGACGAAGTGTTGTTGGCACTGCCACCTTGGCGTGGCTCTCAATTGCGCTGAAACTCGATGCAGACGTGGGATGGCATGGTGTCATGCTGGTGCAGGCCCACCACTTCCTCACCACTCATTTCTTCGTCGACGAGCTCCCTCCCGCACGTCACATTTGACCAGCGACCTGATTCTCGTTTACACTTGATTTTTGTAAGGGCTCCCGCATGATTCTGACCAATCCACATCGGATACGCTGTTAGAAACGCACGCCAATTGGTTGAAAATCGAAGATATCTTGTGAAGGTATCTTCATCTTTCTTTTTTCTTGCCTGCACGGTTCATAATCGATCTGACTGCGTGAGACGCAAGTCGAAGGCAACGGCAATCGGACTTCAGACATCCCCGAACATATTGCAGTAGCCATGTCGTGCGGCACGCGAGAGGCGCTGGTCTTCGGCATGGGGCTGATCACCGGCACGGGCACCACTCTGTGCGTTGTTGCAACCTTTTCGTTATCCACTTTTTGCCATCAGCTGACTGAAAAACTCTGTTGCGACTTGTCATTTGCCATATTTACCTAAACCAGAACCGGCAAGGTGCGTTTAGGCAACAACAAGCATTGCCAACTGACCAGTTGCTAAAGCTGAGAATGATTGTCACTCTCGTTGTCAACAGATCTTATACGGTGTGGACTCTGTTGGGCTTGACGGAGAGGTGAAGAAGTTCGAGAAGCCTATCTTCCAGACGTGGCTCATGTTCTTGGCCATGGTATTCGCGCTTCCCATCCACTGGGCCTACCACTACCACGTCGAGCGACAATGGCGCCGCAACAACCGCAACGGCAGTAAGTGGCAAAAGTACCCATTTTCCAACATCTGATACTAATCCAAAATCTGTGTTGCCAATTGACAAAAAGTGAAATATCGCTACCGGATCCCGCGTAAAATGTATTTTCTACTGGCGCTCCCTGCAGCATTCGACCTACTGGCAACTTTCGTTGCCAATCTGGGTCTTCTCTACGTGACTGTCAGTGTTTTCCAGCTCATGAAGTGCACGGTCATCATCTTCGTGGCCATACTCAAGGTGTTTGTACTAAAAGATCGCCTACGCAGTTACATGTGGATCGGCATTGGCCTCAACATGTTAGCAGCGCTGATGGTGGGCGCCACAAGTCTTGCAGACTCCGACAGTCAGGACAACAATGCTACCAACCAACATCCGGCATTCGGAGTCTTTATGGTGGTGCTAAGCTGCGCAATTCAAGCTGTACAGTACGTTTTCGAAGAGAAACTCATGGATGAAGGCGACAGTGCACCTCCGCTAGTCGTCGTGGGCATGGAAGGCGTCTGGGGCTTAGTATTGACGACTTTCGTCGTGTATCCGGTGGCTTATATGGTCCCGGGTAACGATTTGGGCTCAAACGAGAGATTCGACGACGCGTATCAGATGCTCATGAACAGTGGCCTGGCTCAGACGGTCGTGCTCATTTATCTACTGGTGATTCTGGGCTACAACGTGTTCGCTGTGTCCGTCACGTACCTGCTGAACTCGATTTGGCACGCGATTCTGGACAATTTCCGTCCGATTACAGTCTGGGGCACAGATTTGATGCTGTTCTATTTCTTTACGCAAGGACAATTCGGTGAGCGGTGGACAATTTGGAGTTGGCTACAACTTGCGGGTATGTTGACGTTGTTAGCGGGCACGGCAGTGTACAACGGCACTCTGCGTCTACCGGGTTTCGTGTACTTGGAGCCGCTGGACGAAGCGATGGCTCCGATTCGAACACCTGAGGCGCTCACTGCATCGACGTTCTCACGCTCGCCGTTGATCACGCGCAACGCAATGAAAGCTGCCGAGATTGCTCGCCGGACGCCAAACCCCAATGACCGCGACCGTGTGAGACGCGAATTCATGACTGAGTATCAACCACTGGCTGATGCGGAGTCTCGACGACGCATTGATCCGGCTGGACACACGTACGGATCGCTCGAAACCTAAGGCTAGTTTGCCATGTGTGATGTGAGAGGCAAGACAATAGAGCAAATCAAAGAGTTGATGTGCGTTTCACCTACGGTTCCTCTCCTATGTTATTGCTACATGCATTATTATTATTTGATGGATTTCTTAACGACAGCGACGACGATGCTTGCCAAGGTGCCTGTATAGTACTAATGGGGTCAACTATAGTGACTTAGCACTGGGTTGTAAGTTTTTATCATTTTATCTTTAAAAAATATTTCTTGACTGCGAAGTATTTTCTTCTCGTAGTCGCAAACTTTAATATTAACGTCAATACATGTGCATAGCGGAACAGGAGATTGCCAGTTTACATGTTGACGAAGTTTTACTATGTGTTACCGGTACCCTCTAGATTTCGGAGTTTAAAAAACTACACGTGTACTGTGATTAATCGTCTTCCATTGCAAGCAAACAACGGCGTCGTAGCTAGTGGCTCGTTTTTTGTTAGAGCGAGGGAAAGCTCATGGTTTTCTTCCTTGCAGACGTCAAAAAACGTTTTTGTAGGGCTTTGAGTTCTTCTACCTGTGCACGAAGCTGGAAATTCTCTCATTTCAACTCGACGTGGATGGCGAAAATTCCTGCTTCCGAGGCGTCTGCCTTGCGTTGTGCCACTTCGTTGGCCAATTGTTGTTGTAACCTAGCAGTATGGGACTGCAAAGTTCGATTTTCCATCTCCAGCTTGGCATACCGTTCCTCTGTATCTTGCAATTGTGCGAGTAGCGTCTTTTGTTGCAATTGTAGCTTCGTCGATGAAGACGACGGTCGTTCTTTCGGTGATTTCGTTTCCAGACTCCTGTTGCGATCACGCGCAGTCTTGAGCTCTTCAGACAGCGATTGCTGCTGTGTTTGAGTTGCAGCCAGTTGTGCTTGTAGAGCTCTTATCTGGTCTCGTTGGGACGCAGCTTCACTTGTTACTCGTGCAAAATCCATTTTCACTTCGTTAAGTTGAGTCTCTGCCGACCGGCGTGCACTATCAGCATTAACACAAGCCTGACGACTTAACTCCAACTCGGCTTCAAGATATTGGTTCGATTTCTCTTCCTCGATGAATGCCTCGGATTGTGGCTGTTTCTGTTTGGCTCGAGTCGGACTTGCAGGTGGCAAAGTCTTCGTCGCCTCAGTAATAGTCGCTGCAAGTTGGGATCGTTCCTCATTCCAACTCTGTCGCTCATATTTGAGTCGGTCACGTGCTTCACGTAAAGCCACGTCCATCGTTATCATGTCATTTTTCAGTTTGCTGTTCGCAGCCGTGAGTGTCTCGACAGCAAGAGTCTGCTCTGCCAGCTTTGCGCTAGCAGCTTCTTCGACCTCTTTGAATTTGCGGGTGTGTTCTTCTTTGAGGCGTTCGATTTCGTCCTCTAGCTCTGAAGAGAGGTTTGATCGTGGCAATCCCTGACCAAGGTGAAGTGTGCCCTATGCAAAAGATGGCAAATTAATAGATATCAGGGAAATCAAACCAAAAACTTAGTACCTTTTGCAACTTCGACACTTGCTCACGCAGCTCGACATTCTCATCGAGAGTCTTCTGCAGTAGTTCCAGCGTTCGAACATGCTTCGAGCGGAGCTTCTCGGACACAGTATCTAAGATCATCATCTTGACCAGCGCAAAAAATAGTGAACTGACAGTTGGTTTGTCCTGATTCCGGAGCTATTAACAGAACGCACAACAGCTAATGTACAATAGGGAAACTCACATTTGCATTTTGTAAGGAATTATTGCATTTTTAATCACTCAAATAGCTTATAATGCACGATCTGACTATTGTACATGACCGAACACCTCATACTCTTCGCTCTTTACTTGTTCGTGTTCAAGGACACGTGATCGACGCAGTAGTAGCCGTACTTTTGGTACGAGCGGCGGGTGCATCCCTCCAGTTTGCATCGGTTGCCACCGCCGTGAGCCCAGCACAGTCCGCCCTGCGTCGACACCTTGTCACAGTTGGGGATCACACAGATACGACCGCCTCCGTGCGACCAGCAGTGGCCGTAACGCTTGGACTTGCGCGTACACCCCTCGGTCGCACACGTCTTGAAACCACCGTGTTGGAAACACAGTTTGTACAGCTTTGCACGGTTCGGACAGCCCTCGATCTTGCAACGCGAGCCACCGCCGTGACGCACGCAGCAGCCTCGAGATACCGCGATGTTCTTGCATTCTTCCACTTGACAGGGCGGATTCCGGTTCTTTCGGACACGTTTCCGCGTTGTCTTCGCTTTAGGTTTGGACTTTTCGACGACTGGAGTTTTAATCACAACTGCTTGTTGGATTTCTGGTTCCTCGTCGCTAGAGTCGCCACTACTGCAGCTACTGGCACTGCTAGCCTCGCACAAGGCCGCTAGCGACAACTGCGGTATTTCCGTCTTGATGTTGGCGTTCATTTTCTCCATCGGCGCAATGCACGAGCTTAAAAGAAGTAGAGACGATGACGTAGTTGTAGCTTCGGGGCTCTGAGCCAGCGCCATCAAGCGCTGGAACGACGGAGGAGACGTGGGCGGCGTCATCGCATTTCGGCTCGTGTCTTCAGACGACCGCGGGTTCAGCAGGAATGAAATATCGGACTTGACGCTCATAGTTGCAACGATGAAATTCACTTGAGCTCGAGAGTGCCAATTGCGTTATGAGCAAGGCGCCATGACAACAGGCCGGAAGGTGTCAAGCCACATTGGCACGCGCCTCTCTTGGATCGCAATTGATCCCGATGGTGCAGCCACGCGCCGGTCAACAAATCGGCTCAAGGCTTTCCATCTGACCCAAAACAACCAGTAAAATCGTGCTGATTGTGGTGGTGACCCGTAGGCAGCACGCACGCCGCCAATCACAGGCTTTTGGTGGTGCATGGCACGCGCCGGCACGAGGACGAGCTTTTCCGTGGGACCACCACGATGGAAACGCGGCAGAGTCATTGCCTAGAGTCCTAACGGCCGAACCAGATTGCGTCACCTCGAAGCTAGAGCGATGCCGAGCCAAACAAGCCACTTCAACTTCATCTCGTACACTATTGTTACACAGTTAACTTAGCATAGAGAATATGAAATAGCATAGGACAATTGCGCTCCAGTTCTCAAGTCGCAGTTTGAGTAGAACTGTAGCAATGGGCAAGAAGGGTAAGAAAGGAGCCGCCAAGGGCAAACCAGCCTCTTCCAGCGGCAGTAAGAAGGTCCACCAGAAGCACAAGACGCAGCAGGTTGCAGACGTATCAAAATCGCAGCAGAAGCAGCAGCAGAGCCATGGCAAAGGCAAGAAGTCTAAAGCTCTGACACCTGCCGAGCGACTGGCCGAGATGCGCCGCAAAATTGACGGCGGCAAGTTCCGCATGCTCAACGAGCAGCTGTACACAACCACTGGAGACGATGCTTTCTCTACGTTCCAGGACGACCCGGAGCTCTTCGATGTGTACCACCAGGGCTTCCGCGAGATGGCAGACAAGTGGCCCACCAATCCACTCGACACCTTCATCGACTTCGTAAAGTACGTTATACGCGATCTACTAGTAACTGTGAGACTGTGAACTAGGGACATATTGACGTTTATTTGGTTATTGCTGTTGTTGTAGACGCCACCCGAAGGCTGTGGTCGCTGATTTTGGCTGTGGAGATGCGAGATTGGCGGAAAGCGTGCCGAATAAAGTGCACTCGTTCGACTTGGTGTCCAGAAAACCCATTGTGACGGCGTGCAATATTGCTGATGTGAGTGTAACTAAGGTTTTGCGTTGTTTTAGTGCTTGAGTGCGTGGCTAATCTTTTTTTTTTTAGGTTCCTTTGAAGGACAGTAGTGTGGATATTGGCGTTTACTGCTTGGCGCTCATGGGGACGAGTGTTCGTGAATATGTGCGGGAAGTGTACCGTGTGTTGAAGCCTGGAGGCGTGCTGAAGGTCGCTGAAGTCAAGAGCCGCTTCGAGAGTGAATCGCTCGGAGGGATTGAAGGATTCGTGCAGACTTTGCGTAAAATGGGCTTCGACTGTAAGCACAAGGACGAGCGCAACAAGATGTTCGTGCTGTTTGAGTTTGTCAAATCGACGCGCAGACCGCAGAACGTGGGGCCGATTGAGTTCAAAGCGTGCGAGTACAAGCGGCGATAGGGGAGACCTCACTCACATCAAAAAATGACATTTCGTTTAGAAATTCGCAATAAATAGAAACGATACAGCTTTTCTAATCTACTGCTCCAATTGCAGTGTCTGCAACTCCTCCGAATCAGATTTGTCGGCACTGTAGTCCGTATCTGAGGCGGCAAAGTCCTCGAGTTCGAGGTCTGGTTGTGGCGGAAATGGCCAGGCACAAGTCCATTTCTTGGGTTTAATGAAGGCGATGTTGTCGACGTCAATGCCGTGGTTGGCCAGTATGGAGCAAAGTGCCAAGAGATTCTCTAGTCGCGGCTTGAAGTGGCCGCTGTGGGGTTCGACGGCGATAATGATGCCGTTTTTGATGATAACCTTGCCGGCTGCCAAGATCGGCGCGCCCGAGACGAAACTCGAGTGATGGAAGCGGCCTTTGCGCTTTCGACCGAGGTACATGCGGCCCGAGAGGTCTATGACAAAAATCCACTTGCTGAGTTCGTCCGTGTTCACGACGCATGCTGATGCTGCGTATTGCACTCTCCCAATATCGTCTTCTTCGTTTGATACGAACTTAAGCTCGTAGCTTTTGCGCTGCTCGGCGTTGCAGTATTCCACTTGTGTCGTGCGCAATTGTTGCTGGGAACATTCGGGCAGATCCACGTTTTTGCCGTTCCCGTGATCGAGCCAGTGGAAAAATGACGCGTCCTCGCTGGTGCCGGTTTCATTCTCCCTCTCTGCCATCTCCAGCTTCCAGGCTTTGTGGAAGGCTCGCAGGTGGAAGCCATAGCGATGCTGCTTGTCCAGAGCCTCTAGCCAGAAATCCTTGTGCAGCATGGAGGGGCGGCATGTGACGTGCTCGCTCTCTCCGCTGATGTTGCGCAGTCGGCAGCGTTTGATACCTCGTGTCAATTGGCCCATGCGAGAGCGAACCTGTTGCCAGCGGGCAGCGGCGTGGGGTGGAGTGCTCGGGCAGGGCTTCGTGCACTGCATGAGCTCGATCGCGTCGGGTCTGACGTCAGGTAGCAAATGCCTTCGGTTTACTTCGATTATCATGGCGGTTGGGCTGGCGAGGTTGAAATGGAAAATGGGATTATCCGAGGTGGCGACAGATTGATTGACCTAGGTGCTTTATTTTCTCTGCAAACGACGACACTTACCCTTAGAAGGGAAGACCCACTAGATTTTAGCCAGCTGTAGGTGTAACTGTTTAGTAAAAAGTAGATGTCGCCCCGCTGTACCTTGAAAGGTTCTTATTATGTAGGACTGGTGTGGCAGTAACTGCAAGTGAGACAGGTGGACAGAATATCCAGTTGTTTGTGGACGCATACAAATTTGCAAATTGGTGTTCGTCGACGCTGAGGAATTTGCTCAACAGCAACAGCAACAGCAATGCACAACGCCAACGAGTGTGCTGCACGCTGCTCAAGCGCTCAGACGAGGCTGAGAAGGGCACCAACATCCGGAGTATGCGAAGAGGTCAGCTCAACGCTCGCTCCCTCTCGTCAGCTCGAACGTTGCTGGTGCAGTTACAAAATCTGCCAGAGCAGCACCTTGCTCCTGTTGTAGATTTTCTTTTCTTAATCTACAATGAACCACAACAGAGTACTAGTATACTTTTAAGCTTGTTTTAAGCTTGCTCTGGTTTAAGAAAGTCAAGGGCAGGCGCCGTGCGAAATAGCAGCGATGTTCACCGTTCTCGGTGGTCGCAAGGCCAGGAACACCTTCAAAGACCCGATTCATGTACATGTACTTACTTAGCTGTGACAGCTAGCATTCGTCTACAAGTCGGTATGCGCTGCCTAGTGCTACTACTGTAGTAGCTATATGGTGCAATTCTACCAGCCAAGTCGACCGGAACTCGAGGGCTTGTATCGGCGCGCTACTTCACGTGCATCCGTTCGAGGTGGACGTGATTGCTGTCCTTCTCGTTATTGCCCCTGTAAGCTTAGGGGAGCAGCTCGGTACTGCCCGAGCAATCAATTCACACTTCGTGTACACTCCACCAAACTTCACTTTTCGATTCGTTTGTGTTGCATTTCTGTTTGTTTATCGCACTGCCTGCCGAGTCTATTGGTCGTCGAATTCAAAGATACCCGTGTCGCCCGTATCCGACACATTACCATACGATCCGCGACGTTCCGACCGTCGTCTCTGATCTGCTGGCGTCTGCAAGTCGTACCCTGGCATCCGATAGCGCTCGTCCCGGTCTTCTCTCTCCTCTCCTTCCTCTGACGTGATGCTGAGTCTTTCCAACAGTTCAGCACTCACTGCGTAGCTTGACGACTCGTCCGACGCATAGTAATGCCTTGACGTCTGTGTTCCTGCCGCTCCGCGAGCGCTAAAAGACCTGTATGACGACCCGTTGCCCGCTTGCTGTGTAGTTCCTTCGGTTTGCATCCTCTCTCGTAGCGCTGACATAGCAGCAAGCGCTGGGCTCTTCGAAAGATCAAAATCTTCATGCTCAGCCACATACGGCTCTAGTGTGGGCGTCCATGAGCTTCTTGTGGGGTTTCTCCTTAAAAATCCAATATCTCCTGGACACGAACTAGCAAACTGTAATAAAACCCATTAGAATGGACAATTAACCCGACGAAAACAGTCGCTGCTGTACCTGAATGACGGCGGGTGCACGAGCCGGTGGCGAGTCTTCTTCAATGGTCTCAGCGGGCGGACCTAGCGCCAGATCTGGCATGCTGTCTAACTGTAGGAAGTTCGGCTCGGGCATTGAGCCAACTCGCGGCGCTCTGGGCGGCTGTAGCCCGCCGGATCTTGTGCTGCTCGTAGTCGTCATGAAGCGTGACAGGTGGACGTGGTGCATGTCCGCGGGAAGCGAGTGTGACACCATCGCGGCGCCATTGGGGCTGCGTGTCACCGGGGAGCCGCGCTGGCTGCCACTGCTTCCTATGGGGATCGGCCGCGTCGAGGACATGGCGACTTGTGCTGCACGTAGAGCTGGGTGCTTAGTGTCGTACCCCTCGCTTTTTGACACAATTGGATTGACCCATTTTATCTTGGATTTTGTAAGGACCTTACAATTACGAAGTGTAATATACCGGTATTAGGAATTTAGTCCTGGTTACATTTTGTGTGCAAGCAAAAAATGCATGCCATCAAATAAGACACAATTGAATCAAATTGATCCCGGATGCTCCACGCCTCGCTGGAGCGGCGTCTGGACGTGCTGGAGGGCTCGGACGTGGACCAAGATGAGAACGCTGGCGTGTATAGTCGCATAGCAACCCCCGACGGGCGTCCGGACGCTCCAAACGCTTCTCAGCGCCTGCGATCGTTGTCTTCTTCGTCGGAATCCTCTTCTCACAGTTCTTCCGCGTCTTCCATAGATGAAGAGCAAGCTTCACGATCTCCTAGCGGGGTGCAATTACTCTCAGCGCAAGGTTCAGCTACATGGCAGGCTCATATGGACCCTCGTGTGGACCTGAAGTTGCTGAGTAACCATTTCCGAGACGAGAGGATGGAAGAGTCCTATCAACTTTATTCCTCCACGGTGGACTTCCCAGTGGCTCGTAGACTCATGCTGGCTCTTGTGGCTTTCGAAGGAGCCGCCTATTTCCTGTTCCGCAGGTTCAAAGACACGTGCATCGCGCCTTCGGGCAACGACTACGAGTGGGTGGATCTCGTCAGTACCTTGCTCGACGAAGACCCTACGTCGACGTACAATGCAACAGAGACGAGCTGTGTGTCGTTCATCGAGCCAATGTCCAAGGACGAAGGCCTCACTTGGCTGTTATGGAGCTTTGCACCATTCGCAGTGATCTATGGCATGTTGCCATTGAAATACTTTGAAGGAAGTATGAGACTACGAATCGGGGTCTACTACATTCGACGTCATTGGAAAGTTATTGCCTCCTTGATAATTTTGTGCTGGTCGGTCGGATTGGCAGTATTTGTGCATCACGAACTCGTTGGAATGAGGACCAATTTGGAGCAAAGTTTAGCGAATGGAATGGTTTGTGCATCGGATACATTGATGCCTACGTCGTGGTATGATACGTCTGAATGGGGGAAAATTTCAGGAGTGGATGGCAAAATGACGCTGTTGTCGTGGCTGCAGCTGTATGACAGTAAACTGGCGTACTCTTTACTCATGGGCGTATTGGCAGTACTAGCCGCATTTGCGGGTATCGTCGCAGTGGCCATGAAGCTGGATTTCACCCACGTCTTACTACTAGCTGTAGCAGAGTGGATTACGACATTAATGTTGTGCTTTTTGGGTGCGACGCCGCTGATTTCGTCCAGCCGACGTGTCATGAGCAACGAGGCGTTCTTGTTCTTCCTGTGTGTATTCCTACCCACATGTTTTACACTGACGGCGACGTACTCGGAGGATCGTGCGGCTCGTATGGCGTATGCGTCGAAAGTGCGTGCGGAGCGTATTAACACGACGTTGAAGTTGGATTTATCGGTAAAACAGATCGGATTAGAGAACCGTAACGCGATGACTCGCGACGAAAAGGAGGCGCTGGAAAGAGCACTGGGTGCATCAGGTGACATGGAGCTGTTCCTGAGTGTTTCGATCCCTTTTGCAGACTTGAAATTGAAGGAGATACTGGCTAAAACACCCAATGGAGAGGTGTTGGTGGGTGAATATCACCAGACTGATGTCGTGGTCAAGCGGTTGGCGCAGTCGTGTCTAACAGCTGAGGGTCTGGCTGCATTTAAGAGCAAAGTCGAGTTGTTGGCGTGTCTCCGACATCCGAATATTGTGCTGTTCATTGGCGCAACATTCGACAATTTGTCAAATGTTGGGCTTGTGATGGAATACCTTGAACGTGGGGATGTGTTGTCGTTGCTGCGCAGCCCCATCGCATTGGCGTGGAGTGATCCGTTGTTGAAAATTGCTACTGATGTGGCTCAAGGCGTGTCGTACCTGCACAACTGTGACCCGCCATTGGTGCATCGCGACCTCAAGTCTTCCAACTTGTTGTGTACGCGCACGTACTCGTGTAAAGTATCGGATTTTGGCGAGTCAAAGCGGCAATTACTACCAGGAAAACTATTTAGTACTATTGTAGGAACGCCGTACTGGTTGGCGCCCGAGATTCTTCGTGAGGAACGGTATGATACTCAAGTGGACTGCTACAGCTTCGGAGTGATCCTTGTGGAGCTCGAGACGCGACGGGAGCCCTACCATGACCTTCCTAAGGACTATACTACCATTGATATTATGATGGGAGTATCACGTGGCGACTTGCGACCTACTATTCCTCCATCCTGTTCGCCCTGCAGACGTGAGCTTATTGTACGATGTTTGGATGCTGATCCGAAACGCCGACCTAAGATGACAGAGATCCTTTACGCACTGCAGCATGAGGTGCGTCAAGAGTTGTTGGACCAGAACTCCACGGACGTCATCACCGATAAACGCCGGATGGTCCTCATGCAGCAACACCAACGACTCAATCGTCGTGGACTTCAGGATCTTATGCGGACTCACAACGATGATTAATTGCGTGCGTCTTATGAGCAGCTGGTGTCTAAGTGCATGTAGTAAATTTGTGGTAATAATTCAAAGTAATATGTACTTCGAAGTATGTTTTTAACGCTTGATAAGTAATTAACGGTGGCCGGAGTTGAACACAATGTGTCGAAGTGCGATGCTTATTCCTCGTACAGTGGAGACACCGATTTGTGTCAATGGCCTGTCCAAACTGGGCTCTTCCTGCTCTTCCTGGCGGAGGTCCGACTCCATCCATGTGAACGCTGCGTTGGGGTGTTGCAACGTATAGTTGTTAGCGACGTTACTTTTTCCTCCATGGAGCTCGTTGCTTCGCTGAGAAATGATGCCGTTGCTCGATTGCAATCTACACTTCATGAAGGTTACCAACGCTCTATCCGCATTGTTCCGGAGACCTTCGGGATCGACGCATTGGCAATGCAATTCCGCCCTTTTAACTCCATCCCACCCCAAATCGAACTGTGTTAACCCGAAAAACAAAGTTGCCAATGCAAAATTTGCAAAGTTGCATGAACACCTTAATGAAATTGCATGAATGAAAATCGCGTGTTTGCTTAAAAACTGCATGCAACTACCAATTGGTTGCACGCCAATTACGTGGTCTCGACAAAACGCTTACTACTAACTTGCCGGCCTCCGTCGGGTCGGTGAATAACTTAAATACGCCGCAGCACGCTCGCCACCCTTGGGCAATTTGAACAGGAGGGTGGGCAACGATGATAACAGTCCTGCTTGGACTGAGGGGAAAAAAACTTGGCGCTTGGGCGTGGCCGTCACATCTACTACGCTAGATACCGCGAGTCACGGTGGTTGAATGGCAAACTCTGCAAAAATTACTCGAACGCATTGCTCAGCGCCTCCATCCACAGATGCATTTCGTCCTGCGACCTTGCCTTGCACATGAGAGTCTTGGTGGTTTTACCGGCACACGTTGACACGGAAAACTCGCAAGTGGCTTCACTGATCTTCTCCGCGTGGGTCACGTACGCGCGACTAAGCGGTACAGCCCATGCGTCCTCCGTATCGTAAACCGTAAACATGTTGCCCTGCATGACGCAGAAACGCGCTCGCTTCGACTTGCGGTCGCCCACTTCGAGCCATCCGCTCTTGTCCACGATGTTGCACTGCAAGTCCAGCTCGGAATCCGAATAGCCCACTGAAAGAGTCGACGACGCGGTGCTGGTGGTGCTGGTGTTCAGCGACTCCTGGCGCTTGGCCAGCGCCGCAGCCTCGTTCAATCGATCCACCCACTGTCTGCATAGAGTCTCGTTCTTGGCGCGCACATCGATGATCTTGCCACTCACGGCATACACTTTGAACGCAATCTTGGACTTCTGCGAGGTCTCAACGTGAGCTACACGCACGGCTCCTGCGGGGGTGGACTCGCTTTTAGTCGTGAATAGATTGTCCCCCTGGATCGGCATCAAGGACGATTCCGACACGAATTGGTCCGTGGGGAACGTGTCGTAATACGTGAGTAGTGCCCCGTCGAGCACAAAATGCTGGTTGCGCCACTTGGAAAAGCGACCGGATTTCTTCCACAGCCATCCGTGGAACTTCTCGCCCGCCGTCTTGCGACCGAAATGCATCGCCGAGCCCTGCGTACTCTGCACGAGCATCTCAATGTCCACGTTGAGTCCTGGGATGCTCACGCCGCTGCCAATGCGTCCGCCTGCGCGGCGAGACGAATTGCTGCGGTGGTTCATGTGATCGATCTGCTGCTAATGCTGAGGAGAAGGCGCGTTGACAAGTCGAGGCCTGTGGGTGTACCTGTTCACTGCAAGCGGTTTCTTTCGACTGAGCAATTCGCTGAGCGTTCCTCGCCTTCTTGTGCGCTTCGCGGCCTCTGCCAAACTGTGCGATCGTCGGATGCCGCTCCATTTGCCGTAGAAGTCAGTTCACCAACTGGCTTTGTCGACCTAATCGCTCCTGCTCTCTTGCGACCAGTATCATTGGTTGGAACACAAATCGACGCGGGATTTGATATTCGAGGCATACTGAGTTCAAGATGTAAGAAATAGTCCCTTATCATGTACCACCATTGCTAAAAAAAAAAGGGTGTTCGCCAATCGGAGCCCGAGCTTTGGTGACAACAAGTTGTTGTGAAATTAGGCCAAAGTCTCCGCTTAGGATTTTGGTCCAAACAGGTACAACAACAAACCTGCTTCGTCTGTCTTGATTGCTGCTTCTGGTCCCACAATTTTTGTGATTTGGTTCAGTCAACCTCGGCTGGTTCGTGGCCACCGTCTGCAAGCGGATGCCATCCACGACGCCGTCGTTACAGCAAGGAATAAGTACATGAATCAGTGGGGGGCTTTCGCTGTCAAGGTGCTGCTGCCTTTGGCGCACCCAGCTGGGACAGCCGATGTCACTCGGGAAGAGCGGCCCTATACAAAGGCACGTACGCGCGAGTAACGAGTCGACGCGCTCGGTGTATTTTCCCTGGGTCGGGAAGTCCACGCGATGGCGATTTCTCCGGGTCAATCCAACGCAGTCAAAGGCGTAGAAGAGAGTCGGACACGTGAGGACGGGCTCCACGCGCAGAGACCGTAAGCGTGGACCGATCGTCTCTTACAGACTGGGATCTGTCACGCCCACTCGACGCGGAATTGGCGATTCTTGAAGATATTGCACCTGGTGGGAACAACCGCAGAGTGTGAGCAGCAAAACGTCTCGACCGGAGCCATCCGAACGCCTTCATACACGTCCAGAACATTAGGCGTTGGTCTGGCAATACTTGAAAGTTGACGTTGCACATGCATTATACATTTTCATCAGGACCAATTTTGACTAAATACGACAGTGGTACCGGACCAAAACCCATCCTCGCTTCTGATTATGTATGTATCCATCTCGGATTAGCTCTTCGAACTTCAGGAACAGGTTCAACATGTGTCAAGGTTGACTCAGCTCGATCCTCACATTGCGGTCTCCTTTTAGATCCTGTCGGGACGCAACCCCAACATCCTCACTCCACGTGTGGCGTTAAACTCAGTCCACGTCGCGTGAGACTTCGTGAGGCTAGTCGCTCCGAAATCCCACGTGGATCGACACCTGCTAGGGCCATGGGGAGGCAGCGACGCGGGGTATTGGGCTGCACCAACCTGCCAGCGCTCAGCCACAATTGTGGGGATCGCACCGACACACAGCATCTGCCTCGACAGCAGTCGATCCATAGAGACACACCACAAGACGCGAAAGCGGTTAGACAAGTTGACAATGTGGACAGACGCCACCTCAAGCGCGAGAAGTTCAAACTGTCTTCGATATCTTCGAGCGCGAGCGATGGAACGGCCATCACGGAGGGACAGTGCAGGACCAAACGCAAACTCTCGCCACGAGAAACTCCGTTAGATGAACACGAACAGGCAAAGGTGCATTGCATGATTTGCTCTTGAATGGTTTGCTCACAGGAGTCCACTGACTTTCGCTGGGTTTTGTCCTGTAGCAACAACTCGCGACATCAATCGATTCCCACGAATCCGCATCTAAATCTTACAAGAATGAGCACTGGTATTCAAGTCCAGTTGGCTTCGGCTCGAGGAAATCCGTGCTACTCGCGGCGCTCAAGTTGCGTGACCCCGGAGGATCCGGATTCATCACGTGCAAGCAGCTTGTCGATGGATTGCAAGCACCAAACTTTGGACTGAGCGAACGTCAAGCTCGCGCGTTGCTTGTTGAGTTCAATGATCAACTCCAGAAAGATGATGCAAAAGTGCCTTATCGAAGCTTCGTAAAGCACCTTCAACTCCCTGATGACCGGTCCAGCCAACCAGGACAAGACCCAACGATTTTCTACCAGGAAAGTTACATTAACCGCGTCCGAGCACACGCTGCGCAGCTGATTGAAAAGGTTGCAACAAAAGAAGGGGGACTAACAAGGAGTAACACTTCGGGAGTTCTTGTCAACAAAGATACAGCAGTCACTCAAAACAACGGTACGGATTTATTTGCGACGTCTGATGTTTGCTATCTTCACTAATATCTTTTTTTCGTAAAGACGTAGATCGGTTGTCCTTCGAGTTCGATAAGGTCCGCAAACAACGACGAGCAGAAGCCAAATCGAGGATTCTGTTAGCACATATCGACCGTATAGAGGCATTTTCACAGCAGCAACAGAAGCTCATTGAGGAGCACGAATCCATGCGACTAGCGGCAAAGGCGCTTCATCGTCATGCCCACTTTGAGCAAGCGTTTGAAGAGGTGAGCTTGAAACACAACCAGATGAGTTGGTTTCTTTGTTGATAACACTATCCTGATCGAAATGCTGCAGGAGAATCGTCGACTACGTATTGCCCAGCGTCAACCAAAAGGGTTGCTCGGGTCTCCAGTTGCCAAAATGCAGCGCAATGTCAGCACAGATTCAATATTTTACGTCGATCCTGTTTAAAAAATGGCGCGCACAATAGAAATATACTACAACAAATCAAGACAATATCAATTAAAAGGAGAGTCAGATTTACTAACGTAAATTCCAGAATAATATCCCGGGCACTATTTAATTGTACCCTCAAGATATGGCAGAAGGTTAATCTTTACTAATGATGGCTAAAGCTATCCTTTTTCTTCTGCTAACAACCCAATCGTCCGCGAAGCCAATCCTATCGCGTCGTTGATTCCAGCACTTGTACAGAAGTATTCGATGACATGTTTAGAAACTTGGTAGAATGTGTTTTAGCTCGAATACGCTACAATCGACCACTATTGTTATAAGGGCCTTTCTTGTTGGCTTTTTCTGATAAAAAGTGATGCTGACGTGGCTGGATGAGACTTTGGTTCTTTATCGTAGCTAAAACTACTAGAGTGACTACACAGCACAAAATTACTTGAATTTCAGTGAGGTTACTACAGAATTCCCCGGCAAATCCACAACTGCAGTCGTTGATATTCCTCGTGCAGTCAGTGGTCAGACGCGAAGAGAGATGGGCAGCACTAGACAGGACG